TAATTGAATTATAATTTTACACAAGTTAATTTAAAATTAATTTAAGTTCACCCTTGATTGCCACTCTACTATTTGTTCCAAATAATAGATTGGTATCTTCCTAACCCTTTTATTGTACAATTTGTTATCCTGTATTATTGTATTTCACTATCTCACTAATTCTCTTTTCCTCCAAAATATATTAAATACAGAATTAATTATTCCAGCACCTCTATAACCACTATGTTCTCCGCATACAATCATTAATGTCTTTCTCCACAATCTTTCCTATTCGCCAACTTCTTATGATGTGGGTATTTAGTACTAGAAACTTCGATCAATTTTCAAATGTTGTGAGAATTCCATGATACAATCTATAACGAAGTATTAACTGAAAATGCATGGTTATTCATCCTATTATTTTTTATAAATGAATCAAGAATCTCTTTGAAGATTATTGGAAGCAATATAAACATCATGATCATGTCATGGAATATTAAAAACATCTATGATAAAAGAGCATAGCCATTTGTCAATACTACATTTCTAGTAGATAACTAAATTAAAACACTTAGATTTAGACCAAGGAGATCAATTGATTATGGTCACCTTGTAAAATTTTGTTCTTAAAATATCTATTAGTATTTATTTAGTAGAACCTGATGATAAAGTGGTATTTTACCGAAAATAAAAAATCATTGAGTCACAGTAAAATAGTGAATAATATCTTAGCATTTCATAAAGAAATCAATAATGCATAATGATAATAGTTCATATTTCTTTAATATACCAAATTCAGCTAAGATACGAAATTACTTCTTTATATTTATAGCTATTCTATTAATATTTCTATAATTTAGGAATATAAAAAAAAAAATTCAACAGAAAAGAAAGTGAATTAGAAATTTTAAAATAAACAATTAAAAATAAAATTGCTATTTTTATAGAATATATTATCTCTATTGAATGGAATAAAGAATTTTTGGATAAGATTTTATTAGTATGAATACATTACTTATGATTTTAATAATTAGAATTTATTTGTAAAATATATGGACTTAAAAAAATGATATTTATGTTTCTAAATTACTTAGAGCAAACATGAAATTATTAGAGAATTGCTCATAAGATTGTTAGGGTTATTATTAAAAGGAGTATCCATAATTATTAATATTTTATACTTATTACACATCAATATAAATGCTTTTTAGAATGTAGTATTATTGAAGGATTTTTATATTATTTTCAAAAAATAGTTTTAGCAAGAGATATAACTAGTTTTTTCTTAGCTTATGAATAATAGACTATGAAGAAATAAAGGTTTTAAATTGGATGAGGGAAATTAATCAACTCTAAAAGAAAATTATAGTTTGTCAATTTGAATTATATGAAATATATAAAAGTACCTGAAAAAAATTTGACATGTATCAAGGTTTGTAATGGGTTTGAGAACAGCTAAATTGTTAGAATTTTAGAAAATATAAATAATAGACAGATGATTTAATGATCTCAGATATACGTTGTTTAGCAAAGAACAATGAAGAACTCACTAAAAATAGTGAAAATTCAGGTATTCATTAAATATTAAAATTACTACAAAAAAATCCATTAGTTTTATTTTAATTATGGTTTAAAAAAAATTATTGTTATTATTTCTTAATATTTATATTAATTTGTCAAAAATCAAAATGATAAAGAAGAGTATTCCCATATTTTATCAATATGAATGATGTATCTAATAGGGATTAAAAAATTTATTATTTTCTTTGGACCAAAGAAGTACTTCAAAACAGTTTATTGGTTTGTTATTCCAAATATTTTGTTGCTGATCACTAATTTCACATAAGAACTAAAATACTCAAGCTAATATTAATTTATTGGTACATAGATTATCTATTTACAAAGAGAATTAATGTTTAAAATAATTTTTAATCATCAAAGCTAGTAAGACAAGAGGAATAGAGCTTTTTTATACTCAAATTGCATTTTGGATTGTGTATCTTGAAATTAATCATAATTGGTTGCATATAATACAAAAGTTATGATAATCTTGTATATATTTCAATCTTCTTTACATATAATTTTTAATATCATTTTTATCCATAGCTTTTCAAATTTCTACCATTTTTACTTTTATCTCTTCAATACCTTTTTTACTTCTTTGTGATTTTCTACTTAAAAAATGGCAGAGCAATTTTTTTTGCCTTTTAAATTTTTTTAATTTCCTTTAGAATCATTTTTATTTCATTATTTTCTAAAATTTAATGAATTATAAATTTTATGAATAAATAAACAAAAATATAACATATTATTTCTAATCAGTAAACATAATTTAAAAGTAAATATTTAAGAAATTAATCGTTTAATTTAAATGGAAACAGTATTTATGGAACTCAATTATTGTTGTTTGTTTTAATTATATATATTTATTTTTTATAACATTTTACTTGTAAATTAATTATCAGAATTATTATTATTTTATAGATGAAAAGATTTATCTTATTTTTCTAGATTAATAAGTTTAAACACGTAAAATTATAAAATTAAAAAACTTTTTCGTCCTTCATCTTTATGGAAACATGATGAATTCCATAGACATATACATGGGTTATTATTTCGCAATTCTAAGCTGAATCAATCTATTGCAGTTTGAACATAGAATAATTTAATTTAGCATAATCATCTAATTTTCTTGGATCAACGCAAAAATATAATTAGATAAATTCATTTTTACTAATCCAAATATCAAATTATTATCTCAAAATAGCTCTAATACAATATTTTCTCTATGCTTATTTTATATTTCTATAAAAATAAAAGATAATATAATCTAAAACTTTTAAAAAAAATGATTTATAATCCCTTATAAATCTAAATTTTAATCCTTTTTATTTCATTAATCCAATAATTGTAATTCTCTTGGCAATATTGATAAGTATTGATAACATAATGTTAATTTTTCCGTTGAATATTGAAAAGAATTTAATTCTATTATTACCAAAATCATTAAAGATTTACGTTATTCCATTATTAAACGTTCTTCTCCTGTCTCTAAAATTTCTCGTTCAAATCTTTTGCAAATTTTCTTTCCTCTTCCATTGTAAATTTTATTTATATTCTCTAAATTGTTGCGAATTTTATTAATGAATTTTATATTGTTATAGCATATAAAACAACATAAATAAAATACTCTAATAATATTTATGTTCATCAGAAAATAGAAACTTAGCAGATTAAATTGTATACCCATATAAAAATTGAAATTTATTGTTGTTTAGATTTAAGGTATTTAATGTCGTTAGAATAATTATTGATCCAAACAATTTGAGAAGATACATAAATATTTATTTTGTCTTTCTATTATTTTATTATATGCTTATCAGTTGATGATACTTTATTATAAGATCTAAACTTAGATGAAATAATCTTTTTAGAAATTATAAAAATATAATTAATTTTTATTAAAAATTAAAGCATTTCAATTAAATTTTAATTTATTATATTTGACAGTTGAATTTTCTTTAATTTCTTTA